AAAATGAGAAACAGTCTGTAGTGGAATCTGTGATTCCCACCCCAATATCCATTCTACCCCAGTGTAGCTGCCATTTGGTACACACAGGATTTAACTCAACCCAACATTGGGGCTTAAGCCAATCAGAACAATCACATTCTCTTACCTATAGTATTATCAGTTCACGTCAACTGCCACCCAACCCAAGCAGTGCACAGCATTCTCTTGACCACCTGCATTGATTTAGGGGTGGTCTTGACATTCAAGACTTCTGAATGGAATTTGGGACACAAAGCATCTTTCCTCCTAAGACTGGGCACTGCTTTAGCAACTCGCAATGTGAAAAATGTTAGTCTAATTAATGATAAAGCCAGGCGGAGCCAAGGGAACAAGACAATGGCCAGGAGGGCACAGAATGCCTGGTGGGGTTGGAGCAAATGCAATGTAGCCAAGAGGAAGTACAGAGAGCTGAATGAAGTTCGAACGTGATAGTGGGTCAGGAGGAAAGTAAAAGGAAAGAGAGGAAAGAAGTAGGACAGATAAACCCCTCAGGGCCAATAATGAGGGAATGATCAAAGTACAACTCCTGCCCCCCACCCCTCAGTGAGCAACAGAAATGTGGGTGAAGGGAGACAGCGGACAGTGTAAAATATGAAAATAAAAATAATTGATAAATTATAAAGGGTTTTACAAGAGCAGGGGTGTGGGGGAAGGAAAGGGGAAAAGGACCTGATACCAAGGGCTCAAGTAGAGAGAAAATGTTTTGGAAATGATGATGGCAACATGTGTACAAATGTGCCTGATACAATTGATGCATGGATTGTATAAGTGCTGTAAGAGCCAATAAAATGATTAAATTTTTTAAAAGAAAAATAATTTTTAAAAATAATCATGATAATGATAAAGTCAACTCCAAGAGGTCAAAGCTGAGAATTCTAGAAAATGAAACTAGAACCCTGAGCACATCACATCTGAAACTATCCTACATTGTGCTTCTCAGTTCAGTTTAAGTCCATAAATACAAAATCAATCAGCCAACTTGGTTGAATTTTCTGTTATTTGCAACTGAAAGTCTCCTTCCTTAACTAGTTGGGGAAATGAGCAAACAAAAATTAAAAAATATGGTTGATATCCAATTCTGGTAAGAATGCATCTAACTAAATAGCTGGATCTTTAATATACAACGGATAGACGTGTGAATCTGAATTCCTCTTATAACCTACAGGAATTTCTAGTCCATAGAAATGTTCAGAATGTTCAATGTAGCATTATTTGCATTTGTGAAAAACTAATCTATAGGAGATGGTTAACTAAATCATAGTATAAACATACTATTGAACACTGTTTAGTGGTTTGAAGGGAAAAAAAGTAATGTATATGCGGAAGTATAATGATGTCCACAATTATAAAACGAAAAGTTGAGTTATAGTTATATGTATAGTAAGACCCAGTTTTGTGACAGTCAAGAAAGCCCACAGGGCTAACGAGTCTATATTCCAAAGGGATAGAAAGGGCTTTTATTTTCTTCTGCCTCTTTTTTATGTACAGCTTGTTTTCCATCTACATTTATACAAGGGTAAGCAAAAAATACTGCTACAGAAATCTTTATTAAACTAAAATGCCAAAACGTGTAGCTATTGTAGTCTTTCATCTTCTCCTCCATTTCGGTTTATACACTTCTGAAGACGGGGTTTCCAGTTCTCAAACCCTTCCCTGAAGAAATCTGTGCTTGACGTTTATCATGTCAAAAAGACAGAGTGGCAGCCCCCAGGGGCTCCCATCAGTGCCCTTTGGAAGTCATGGGTATGGGCAGGGCTCTAAGGGGGTTGGGGTAAGGATGCCCAATGAGATTCTCATAGGGCATCTTTTGCTACCCTTCAAGAATGAGCAGGTGCATTGTCACGATGGGGCAAAAAAATCCCTTAGTGCAATTTTCTCAGCCTCATCCTTATCAATGTTGTTCTTAATTTTCTTAAAATGTCTTCCTAATAAGCCCTCGTGATCATCCTAGGAGCTCTAGCAAGATGACCCCTTTGGAAACTCAAGATACGGTCACCAGACCTTTCTTCTGCCTTGAATTTAACTGGCCAGCAGATACCTTCAGAAGTCAGTTTTGATCAAGGACCCTTTTTATTGAGAGCACACTAAGGAGACTAAGACAAGTGTATGACTGAGAGAACATGTCTGCAGTCATCTACTGGTTGTTGGGACATGCTTAAACAGGCTTCGTTTGGAATAAACCACTGACTTTATGAACTGGAATTCTAGTAACAACACCTTTTGACGTCCCCTTGTGTGAAGATCCTGCATCCCATTGCCACTGAGTCAATTCTGACTCATTGTGGGCCTAGGTAGGAGCTCCAAGGCGGTAAAATCTTTACAGGAGCAGGACAGCCTCATCATTCTCCTGTGGAGCAGCAAACCCCCCAATCTTGTGGTTAGCAGGCCAGCATGTAACCCAAGTGCACCGCTAGGGTTCCTTATATAATCATATAAAAACATAATATGTACAAAAATGTCCAGCAAAAAAAAATACAGCAGTATGTTAAGTGCAATTGTCACTGAATCGTAAAATATAGATGTGTTTAGATTTTTCCATAGTTTGTAGGGCAAAAATACAGACTATATAATCCTTCAATAATTAATAACCAAGAAAGAGAGAGAAACAAATCCTGACTTCAAAATTAAGGGAGGCTAAGCAACCCACTGGATGGGAGGGTGGGCCTTTACTGTCATTTGCTCTAAACCTCAGGAAATAGAATTTCGACTCAAGAATTTGGGGAGCTCTAACAGCAATGACAATGAGAAAGAATAAAATATTCTGAAGTTGATGGTGGGGATGATGGCACCACTCTTGGTCATCACTGAACTATTACATTGTAAGATCTGTGACTTTTATGCCAATCAAGCTACTTAAAAAAGGAATTGGGGGGGCATGGGAATTTCAAGGTGGACCAGGTTTGAATCTGGCGCGGAATTATAGAAAGACAAACCTGGGAGCAGGAGAACAGAGGAAGTGGGTAGGCAAGTTATGCAAGATGGGTCGGCAGTAATAGGTCCTTATTACAATCCCAGTAAGATACAACGCAAAGACGCTAATGCCTAAGTATTGGAGACCAAATCCTGGCTCCATCCTAGCTGTATGAGCTTAAGCAAGTTACCACTTTCTTTTAGATGCCTCATCAGTAAAATGCTAATGCCAGCACCATCTCGTAGGGCTTCCATGAGGAGTACCTAAAATATCTGAGGGGGCTGCCAAAAGTTCCTGAAAAGACGGAATTGGAAGATAATGGAATTTTTCCATGAACTTTTTGAAACCCCCTTATATTACTCAGAACAGTGTCTGATATCTACTAAGGGTTATACATGTATTTGCTACTATTAGTAGGTGGTGATATAAACTCATTCAGTTTCTACTCTGTATAAGCCACTGCAAAAATGTACTGAGGATCCAGCAAGCATTCTAACATTTCTAGAGCTTACAATTTTGTTGAGAGCATGACACCTTCCCCTACCCCCCCAAAAAAAATCAAGAGCCAAAAGGGTCATCTAAATCAGTGACAGAGGGCAAACTAATAGCCCAATAGGGCTCTAGTTAAGAATAGTTTTATAAAATAGAACAAAGAGGGTGACAGGTATCTGTGTCAGCTCTTTCCTAGATCTGTGCAGGAAAAGCTTGCCATCCCTGATCTAAAGTGCTACACATCATCCAGTGCTGAAGGGAGCATTATGTGGACAAGGGGCAGGCTTGAACTGTAAAAATCCTAGGTATGGAAATCATCAGGAGCCCTTTTTACAATTCCTAAGAAGTGATCACTGATCAGTCTGCTTTTTGCATAAAGGGCTCAAAGTGATGAGGGACTTATTACATGACGTGAGCAGAAACTTCTTCCTTTCTCATTTCAATCTCACCATCCCTGTCGTTTCCCCCCTTGTCTCTTCCTGGCTTCCTCTCTTGCCAGAATGTCCGTCTAATGAGGAATGGGGCTCAGGACTTATTTTTGAATTCTGGTTCCACCGCCTGTCAAAAATTTCCTTCTCCCTCGACTTGCCATATTTATCTAACAAAATGCAAATGATCCTACAGCATGTAGGGTTGTGAGGATGAAATGAGATGACGTGCAAGTGTCTGGAGCACAGCAAACCTTCCGGGTTCCTTCCTTGTGGGACACATCACCTATTTACACACAGGTCGACGGAGGACCAACGCAGCTGTCAGGCCTCGGTTCTAGGTCTCTCTCTACCACTTGTGATGTTAGGTAAAATCACTCCATCTGATTTCAGGGCTTCCGTTTCCTCACCAATAAAATGATGGGAGTAAATGATCAGAGGCTCTCCATCCAGGTCCTTCCTGGACTCGGAAAACCGAAACGCCTTCTTCCTCCCCACTCCCCCGGTATATGGATGCAGGAGGGAAGACTGCCTGAACGCCCACCCCGCCGGTCGGCACCAGGTCACATGACCAGCTCCACCCTTCTTAGCAGAAAATGGGCTAGAGTGGAGCCAACCACTCATCTGGGGGACGTTAACGTGGAGACCCGTGTCTGTCCCAGTAGAACTGCGCCCCATGGGGTGGTCGGGAGTCGGTTTTCAGATGGCCGATCTCAGGTTTTCATCACGGATGCTTCTAGCTGCCTCTAGATCCTTCGTCCTTTCAGTAGCAGCCCGACTTGTTACCACACAGAGACCAGGTAGGCACACCTCCGAGTCGCTACAACTGATGTGCAACATCGCTCGAAAGTCACAGTGTCGCATGCGACCGGCACAAGCCACTTGTTTGTTGTGTTACACGCTGGCGATAACGCCACTCCTCAAGAGCCAAAAGTAATACCAGGAGCACCCGGACGAAGGCCTTAACGAAAGCGCTCCGGGGACTGCAGCCTTGGCCGGGTTAGCTTCCTTCTGCTCGCCTGAACCTGGGCATCCCGGGCCGGCGAGGACCCGCACCACAGGGGGCGGTTGAAAAGACGCGCGGACCCCGCCCGAGGGGAAGGGGAACACGACCAGCTGAGCACACGTACCTCAACCACCGTCCTCTGGAGACGCGACTCCCAGCAGGCTTCGGACCCAAGTGTCAAGACTCGGCCCGACCTCGGGGTCCTTCCCGGAAAGGACCGCTCCCCCTGTGCCCCGCCCGCGGGCTTCGCGGGCTGCCCGCCGAGCGCCTGACTGGAAAGCCTGGGGCTCCACCCCCGGCCTGATAGGCCGCCCTTCGCCGCTGCGGAAAGTGTCCTTCCAGTTCAGTCACCCGGAAGCGAAGGGCATCCGCCCCCAACTCCGTATCTAGGTTTTCATCAGGCAGTCCGTTGGATGCCCGGCCGGGCCTAGGCTGCGGGAAGAAAAGTCTTCTGCTCGGGCCCAGCGGCTGGACGCGCTTTCCACTGCGGCTCTCTTTTCAAGATGGTGGCCTCCCGGGCGATTGGCAGCCTCCGCCGCTTCACTGCCTCCAGGACCCTGCGCTCCCCAGGTGAGGCCTAACGGAGGGGGCTGCGCAGCCCGGGACGGGGCTCCTGGGCGGACAGGGACGGCTCGGGAGCTGCGTCTCCCCGTCCCTGCCTCGTCTCCGCCCCGGCGCTGGACACCCGGCCCTAGTGGGCAAGACCTGTCCTGAGACCCCGGGCCCTGTGTCCTTGGGAACGGACTTGCGGGGCCGGGGTCTCCCGAGCCCCGCGGCGATAGCAGGCTTCCTAACGCCGCGGTCCTTTTCCGCCTGCGGGTACCCTCCGCCCGGCTCCCTCTCCGCGCTCCTGGGCTCACGCCCCTGGTTATTTCCTTCCATGACAGCCCGGGGGCCAGGGACCCCAGCCGGTCACATCTCGGCTTGGTGGCACCTGCCGGCCACAAGCTCCGTCTTGCACGCTGCTTGCGTGGCATCAGCCAGCCTCGCACTTGACCGGCTCCTGCCGCGCTCCTGCCCGGCCACACCGCGTCTGTGCGTGTCACCTCGCTCGCAAGCGTGTTGGACCGCGACGAGAGGTCCCGGAACCTGGGAGACGACACCGTAGGCCATCCCTGCGTCGGTGTTTTAAAAGAACAGTGCGCCGTCTAATCTTGTTCCTGACGGTTACCGGCCAGCGTGCGTTGTAGGGCGATCGCCTTCTCGGGCCACGGGCAATGGGAGGGTTAAAGTAAGCCCTTGGAGCACCGAGCCTGGGGCGAGCTTCCCAAATTGGTAAGGCAAAATGCGCCGGACTTCTTATTGCAGGATGTGCTTTCACAGGAATGACGGGGTTCGAAATTTTGGTTTGTAACAGGAATGTCCTTTTTTTCCCCCTCTGCCTGGACCACCGTGGTCACGTGCTTTGTTTAAGTCAGGTCGCTGGAGATTCCCCTTCCTGTAAAGGGACTCGTTTAGGAGGATTGAATCGTTTGTCTACTTTCTCCTTGGACCAGTGGGTTTAGTCTCCACCACGCCGCGAGTGTATACATATCCTAATGTCAGTCACTTTACAGAAAACGGAGATACTTAAAGATTGGGAGACGGGTTAAAAAGCAAAACGAAATACAGCACGCAGGTTCTCTTCCTACTCATATCTTGTATCACTGAGCCTGACATAGGCTTTCTAGTCACCAACCTTTCACTCATCGGCTATGTGACTTTGGATACATTTTAAAATGTAACCCTGGCTCTGTTTTCCTCCTGTAAAATAACTGACTGATTTTCTGTGGCAGGAGAAGCATGACAAAGCAGTTAAAAAGCATTAAATGTAGAGTCTTGACTTGGCATCGGGCACTGCCTTTCACCCGCTGGTGACCTTGAGCAATTACTCTGTTTATCTGTAAAATGCAGAATAAGCCACATTATAGGGTTGTTAAGAGAATTCTGGGGACTCTGAAGGCTAAAGCACTTGGCTACTAGCCAAAAAGTCCCACCAGCCACTCCATGGGAGCAAGATGAAGCCGCTTGCTTTTGTAAAGATTTATAGCCTTGGGAGCCTTTTGGGGCAGTTCTAGTAGAACACAGAGGTTTCTAGGGTTGTTGAGAGAGGTTATTTTAGAGGTGTAAGTTTTTCATGGATTAAGTGCTCAGTAATTGTTAGCTACTTTCCAGCCCAGAAGAAATAGGACTCTCTAAACATTGGATTTTTTAAAAGGTAATTTTTGTTTTACAGGTGTGGAATAAAAAAACTACAAGTTTCGTTTTTCCATATAGACATATATATATACATGCACATAAATGTAATGTAGATTTTGCATTGTGTCCACACCCATGAGAGGAGCACTGGTGGCACAGTGGTTAAAGCACTCAAATGCTAACCAAAAGGTTGATAGTTTGAACCCACCAGCCACTCCCAGGAAAAAAGCTGTGGCGATCAGGTGCAGTAAAGACTCCAGCCTTGGGCCCCCTGCGGGGTTGTTCTACTCTGTCCTGAGGGGTCACTAGGAGTCAAAGCCGACAAGTGGACAATGTGATTGGTTCTGGCTCATTTCCGTTACTGCCACTTTTAATAGCAACGTAGACATTTTGAAAAGTAATCTGGGATGTGAATTTTAAATCATCAGGACACCTGGATTGCAATGTAAACTCAACAGGTTGGTCTCTCCCCAGGAAAGCGGCTTTGTCAACGGTCCTCAAGATTGTGACATTTGCTTATGGATGCTTACTTCCTTTGTAACCTATTTTAAATTCTTGAATTTAAATTAGAGTACTGTACTACCAGTACTATAATTCTGAATATGACTACAATTAATCATATCTGGAACAAAGTATTTTGGCTACTAATTCCCACTTCTCTCACTTTTCTAAATTCCCAGACAATCAAGTGGCTAAATATTAAAGCAGGAAATGAATTTAAGGCAAATACCTGTGTAGACGCCAAACCAGACCAGACACAGTAGGATTGACTCAGAGGGACACTAGGGGACAGAGTAGAACTGCTTCTTTAGTTTCTGTGGCTAGAAATCTTTATGGGAGCAGAAAGCCTCATCTTTCTCCCCTGAAGGAGCTGGTGGTTTCAAACTGCAGACCCCACAGCGGTGGTTGAATGCGTAATTCCCCCTGCCACTCTCCTTTAAATTTAACCCTCACTTCCCCATTCCCATTCCTCTGTCAAGACTGAATTTTGAGAAAACACTTTTGACTATAACATGCAAGATAGGTGAAGGGAGACATCGGACTGTGTAAGACATGAAAAAAAATAAATAAATTATCAAGGGTTCGTGAGGGATGGAGGGTGGGGGAGGGAGGGGAAAATGAGCCGATACCAAGGGTTCAAGTAGAAAGAAAATGTTTTGAGAATGATGATGGCAACGAACGTACAGATGTGCTTGATACGGTGGATGTAGGTATGGATTGTGATGAGTTGTAGGAGCCTTCAATGAAATGATTTTTAAAAAGCAAGATAACAAAATAAATAAATAAAACAAAATTTTAAAGAAGTTAAAAAAATTTTTTTTTAAAGCAAGATAACATTTTCAAATTTATAATCGGTGTCAGCATACTCCAGCTGACTTCACTGATGATAGTTTTATGAGGTCTTGTAGGTCTTTCTTGATTAGAATGATTAAAAAGTAGTGCAAAGGCTTCTGTCTCTTGGGCTGGCACAGTAAATGTCGGCTGAAGTTCATCCAGCTGCTATCAAGTAAGCTTCTGATTAAGTGGTTGGTACAGATCTTGGGCAAAGCTACTTTGTACTACACCAGGGTTTGCTTGTTGTGATTGCCCATTCTTCTCCAAATATATTTGTTTACTGATTCTCTTCTCTCTCTCTCTCTCTCTGTGTACATATGGGTGATGGCAAAGGTGGGCTAGTGGATAAGAGTTTTAAAGGGTTTAAACGAAATTCTAATAAATAACAACCTATTGTCTCAAATATTTTATCTTTAAAATTGCAACCCATGCCCATACCTCCTTATCTTTTCTTCTTTTGTCTAAGCACTTACAAGAACTCCTGGTGGCATAGTAGCTTAAGCATTGGGCTGCTAACCATAGGTCTTTGGTTCAAACTCATCAGCCACTCCGTGGAAGAAAGATGAGACTGTCTGATCCTGTAAAGATTTTCAGTGTTTAAGGTACTAGGGAGCTATGAGTCAGAGTGACCTCAATGACAGTGAGCTAGGCACTTATCTCCTAACATACTTGCTTCAGTTTGATCCTATTTCTTGGGTTTTATCTATCTTTCCGCACCATTTTCCCCAACCAGTTCATTCCCTCTCTAATTCACGTTGTCCTACCCTAGTTTGAATCGCCTATTTCAACTCCCACTGGAGCTTTTAGTACTTTACAGGAAAACGTTTTAATGCTAGGTCTATTTTCACTTGTTCACTTAAAACTCTTATCAAGTAGAGCCAAGTCTTCCCAGATAGTATCTCGTGTTGCCTGAAAAATGTACATTTTGTTCACTCCAAGTACTTAGACCAGTGCAGAGCACATGGTAGACCAGAATGCAGGGCTTTGCTGCTTTGGGAAATGTGGTTGTACACTGACTTGCTTTTAGGAAAGTACTGCAGATTTTTGTTGGATGAATGACTGTGAGGTGATGTTGAAAACCAAACCCACAAGCGGCCATCTAGCTCAGAAGCAACAAAGCCCACATGGAACAACATATCAACCTGTGTGATCACGGGGTGTCGAACGGATCACTGAAGACAAATGGGTGCATAAGCAAATGTGGTGAAGAAAGCTGATGGTGCCCGGCTATCAAAAAGGATAGCATCTGGGGTCTTAAAGGCTTGAAGGTAATCAAGCGGCCATCAAGCTCAGAAGCAACAAAGCCCACATGGAAGAAGCACACCAGCCTATGCAACCACGAGGTGTCGAAGGGATCAGGTGTAAGGCATCATCAGAACAAAAAATCTTACCATAGTGAATGATGGGGGGAGTGCGGAGTGGAGATCCAAAGCCCATTAGTAGGCCACTGGAGATCCCCTTGCAGAGGGGTCTAGGGGAGGAGATGAGCTAGTCAAGGTGCGATGTAACAATGATGAGAAATACAACCTTCCTCTAGTTCCTAAAGGTTTCCTCCCCGCTCCCACTACCATGACTCGAATTCTATCTTGCAAGACTGGCTAGACCAGAGGAGGTACACTGGTACAGATAGGAACTGAAAATACAGGGAATCCAGGACGGATGAGCCCTATAGGACCAGTGGTGTGAGTGGCAAAACAGGGAGGGTAAAGGGAGAATGGGTAGGGAAGAGGGAACCGATTACATGGAACTGTGTGTGACCTCCTCCCTGGGGGACAGACAACCAAAAAGTGGATGAAGGGAGACATCGGACAGGGCAAGATATGACAAAATACCCATTTATAAAGTATCAAGGGCTCATGCGGGAGGGGGGAGCAGCGAGGGAGGGGAAAAGTGAGGCCCTAATGTCGGGGGTTTAAATGGAGAGAAAATGTTTTGAGAAACGATGTACAAATGCGCTTTACACAATTGATGTGTGTATGGATTGGGATAACAGTTGTATGAGCCCCTAATAAAATGTTTTTAAAAAAAAAAAAAGAAAAGAAAACCAAACCCACTGC